GCTCACTTGTCTCAGATTGTACTTTAGGTGACTGTACTTTCATTCCAGAACCAGAACATCTAGTCCTGCTTCTAGTCAGCTTCTGGAAGTGCTGCCCACCTTTGGCATGACTGTCTAGTGGTTAGAAGACTCAACTAGGAAGTAGGAGATCTGGATTTTAGGCTCTCTTTAAATTCAAACCTGTATAACCCATTTCCCAGGATAGTGCCCTAGTTACCGCTACAGCAGCTTAGGTGGAAACACTATGCACACCTCCTATGGAAGCACACCTCCTTTGTGCCGCTGTAACTGAAAACGTCATGAGCGCAGAAGGGAACTAAACAAGAGGAGCCACCTATATAGCGTAGTGGTGAAAGCACTCGGCTAAGTAGTGGAGACCTTCATTCTAGTTCCAGCTCCCAGCTTGTTTCTGTTTTTTAATAAGTGACTTCTAATATGAAATATATAAATGGACCTGGGCTGTTGCTCAAGTGACTTCACTAAACATGTGGTTATTATGGAAAAGGTGGTCACCATCACTTCATCTTCCAATCACGTTTTTGAATGAAGTGACTGTGGCTGTTGAGCTCTGTGCTAACTCAGTGCTGTTAGTATAAGTTAGGCATCCTTGGTACATGCCTAATGGATTGGGCCTGTGTGGGAATTCAGGTGGGATTTAGGTGCTTCTTCAGCACCATTCACATTCACATGACAGCAGAAGTTAGCACCAGGTACTCAAGGTGGATGGCTTCTGAGCTACCACAGCACAGCAACCCACTAGAGGACTACAGAAAGTGGAGGCACTTACTGAATTTATGGCCACTGGAGCAGAACCAATCTGACTGCTCATTTGAATATAGGCACCTCAATTCTTCCTAAGCCTTAGTTAGGTACCTCTGAGACCAACATGCATCTTGCCATTAGTTCTTCTGATATATAAAAAGACTCTTTTTTTGATACAAAATGAAATCCTTTGGGACAAATGTCCTGTCTCAGTCTTTCTACTTATTTTTGACTTCATAATCATATTTGACTCATTTTTATGGCTGAAAATAAATTTGTTTCTACCAATAGCTCGGGTTCTTTGCAAAGATGGAAGTCTTCTTGTCAGATATCAAGATCAAAGCAGACCTCATAGCATGCACTTAAGCATTTCCTGAGTTTCATTTTAAAGTATTTTCTTTCAGTATAACCAAGCAGTCAGTATATTGTCTTCACATTTCAGCTCTTCCTAGAAAGTTTTTCCCTCAGGAAACTGCTCTGCCTCCATTGAGCAGAAAGTGCAGAGCTCACTAAAATATTTCATTTATTATGGAAACTACTCATATGAGGAGCAATTACTTGCAAAGGACTTTTCTTGTCTTAAAACAGCAAATCAAGCCAAATATATTTGGAACATAGATGTTGAATTATGGGGAAAAAATCTAGCTAATTATGGGTATTCCCCCCGTTCTCCTTCACTTCTCTTTATAGTCATACTCAAAAGACAGTACTTTAGGGAATAACATTTTAGCCTTAGCAAGTCTTTTTTTATCCTTTTTGTCACTGAAGCTCTGAAATCAAGAGAGAGAGAGAGCGAGACATGTTTGAAAACTCCATTCAAGTTTTGTCCAACTAGAGCACCACCTGCTTCTCTCTCAGGTCTCCTTGGTCTAGGCACACTGCATTCATAACTACACACATATAAAACAGTTATCAAATATGTACCCTTCACAAGCATCAGCAAGAACTTTAGCGCAATTTCTAGATTTATTGTTTCAGTAGGCTGTACAATCAACAATAACTTCAAGGAGCAGGGAAAGAGATTATGTTATTAATAATGTGTATTAAAGTAGCAGCTCTAAGTCGCTTGGTACTCTCTAAACATATATAGAAAGATACAGTTGGTGACCTAATATAGGATCAAATACTTAAAATAATTGGTGCCTAAAGATAAGCTCCTAAATCCATATTGGGAACCACTGGCTATTTGGCACTTCTGGGAAATCCAGGCAGATTATGCAAGTACAAAATAAGTACTTAAAGTTAGGCACCTAATCAGGACAGTAACTTGGCCTAAGGAAGGTAAAATATAATTGCGTAAGAATTTCCAGTATTAGTAAGAGAAGACAAAATTGGCTTCAGTTTTCTGGGTTATCTACGGACAATGGTACAATTATGAACGGGCAAAAATTGCTACTTCCCTGCTTATAGCACGGTACATATGTCAGGGTCTGTATGAAAGCGGAGAGGAAGTGGCTGACCTATGCTAAAAATTATTTCCAAGCTGACTATAGTTTTTATTTATTTATTTATTTATTTATTTTATAGCTGCAGAGATGAAGGCCATTCTTGGGGAAAATGTTATCCAAACAGGGCAGAAGGATGCATCCTATTATAAATGAGTTTCTGTATGTTAGACTAGTTAATTAGTCTATTACATTGAAATCAGGATCATGATTTTTATGGTATGTAATAAATCTATATCAACTAAGCCCAACTTTTCCTCAATGTATCCAGTATTAATTAGCCTCTTTTTGTAGATCATATAAAAGGAATGGTCTATGTGGAGCAGGGTTTGAAGGGTACAGACTTCGTAAATCTATTCAGGAGAGTGCTCCATACGTAGGGAGCAATGTACAAGGAAGCAATAGATGTCTGTGGGAGCAGCAGAGCAGTGAGCAATCAAGGCTAATATCAGTGTCAGTATGGAGGGGATGGTGAGCACAAGATAAGAGATAAGAATGGATAGATAGAGAAGACAAAGCTCTGAAAGGCCTTGAAAGCTTGGACATGATACACTGGTGAGCAGATAGCCAGGAGAAGGGTCTGGAAAGGGACTATCATGGATAGCATGATTAGGGTGGAAGAAAGCAGCAGCATTTTGAATGGCCTGGGGAGGCATTGGGGGTGGGAAGGGAGGAGGCAATGAGGAAAAGGCAGCAGAAATATAGGCCAAGTGTAAGAGTTTAATTTATGTGGGACAGGGAAATGATGCTAGACCTTAGCGAAGTTATTATGGAAGATCCTGCCTCAGGCAGGGGGTTGGCTTGTGGAGGTCCCTTCCAGTCCTACTGCTCTCTGATTCTACGATTCAAAGTGGCCAGAGCAGGACAGTCTGGATGTGTTTAATCAGTGAATATGTAAGTTGATGGAGTGAAGGGGGATATTGGGAACGAAGAGCAACATTTGACTCATTAGGGACTGGACTGGGGAATCCCAAAGTCAAAAATATGAGCAACCACTTGAACTGAGGAGCCAGGCTTTTTGAGCAGGGACCTGGAGCACAGACAAAGAGAAGAACCTCTCGGATACCTTCACTGGTGGTTTAAGAATAAAGAATCTACTTCTGTTTATTCTTGTGAGTAATTACACTGCATGCTACATACATGTGCAGATCACTGACTACAGATGAAGAGAAAGCTACTTTTGGGGTCCCTGACATAATCATTCTTTCCATCTCTTTCTGCCTCTCCATGAATCTATGCTCAATGTTCTTAACTGGCTTCATGAGTATTCATTATGTTATAACACTCCATTTCAGGGAAGCACTGAATGGAACAATTTTTACTTAAATAGTAATATAGAAGTCAGCCTGAATGAGACCCATATCAAGCATTCCCTAGCTTTGAAAGAGTTTATTTTTAGAAGTGAACCTGAAATTTGCAGTCTACAACTGATTCCAGCACCCAGAGCCCAACTGCTATCAGTGAAATGAAAATGGATGTATGTTGGGGTCATGGGGTATTTTGTGCATTTTTGAACAGCGAATTGAAAGTCGTCAAGATGAAAACTACTTTATCTAAGCATAAGATATAACTCTAAAAACAAAACCATTTGATTCACTTAGTCTATAAGGTGCACCTCTATCTACTTTCTGTGTGACTTCAGACTAATACGAATAACTACCTCTCCTGTACATCTATTCCTAAAAGGTTATTAATGAAGCACAAATATATATGAGCTAAAAATCTTTCTTTCATGTGAAATAATGGAATACATTATTTAAAAACCTGAAAATGGAAAACACAGAAAAGAATTTTTGAGTGAAGTACTGTCTGTCTTCCATAAGATTCAGGTGTTACCTTTTTGAGGATTTTTAGTACCAAGGAGGGTATAATAGCTAGTGAAAAAAATCATTGCAAGTAAAAAAAAATGAATCTGAAGTTTCTTTTCTGAATTTCAGTCTGAGGGTAAAAATAAGAGGAACAATTTATTATTAAATTTGTATCACATTGTCAGTTAAGTAGAAAGAAAAATCTCAGATCAATATACTTTGATGTACACTGTTTTACACTGACGGTTTTATATTCAGAATAGGGGAGGGAAAATAGGAAGCAAAACTATATGAAAGTCAACTCTTATGTGTGTAAAATGTAAGCAAATTTAGCCTAAATGCATTGAAATAGAGTTTTGAGCCATTTTAATAGTGTGCACTAATTGGCAGTGTCCACACGAGCGTGGATATTTGGTTCCCTGGGGAGAACTAGCACAGGACACCTTGCACTGCCACTAGTTGTCCCCGGGGAACGCATGCGCCACACACCCTCTGGTGCGCAGCATGTTACCCTGGGTGGGGTAGGGGAGCACTGGCCCCAGCAGCCTTACTTGGGGTCCTGGGTGCCTCATGGGGCTGTAGCAGTGCCAATCCTGCTGCTCAGCGCCTGGCCAACAGCTGAAGTGTGGCTCCAGGCGGCCAGGCTCCAGTTTTGAGCAGTGTGCGCTGTCCCCATGTGCACAGCTCTGCTTTTTTTTGTGTGCAGGTTTTCTTGATCCCTGGATATCCAGGGGTCAAACCCCACCACCCCACAGTGCTCCCTTGTAGCATGGAAAACAGCTGAATATGCGGTATGTGGTACCACAGACGTGTCTGCAGCGTCACATACTGCATGGTCACGCTTGTCTGGACGTGGCCATCGAGTTCATATTTATGTTGCTTTAAAAATACAATAGATGTCATTATGCAAAAATATGCCAGCCTTGAGACATATTGGAAAATGTTTAAAATTATTTTCAGCAGGGTGAACAGGGCTTTCACTTACGCCTACTTTCATAAATAGCTCTTGATTTCTCATATAGCTCATATGGGTCAGGTTTCCTTGGATCAAAGGCCTCTGTTGAATCAGGAAATGAACTCCTGTGAAGGGTGGGTGGAAAGGGAATATTCTGTGGTATCGCTGGAGCAGATAAACTTGTCTGAGGACTGCCTTGGTTCTCCCATCGCTCCATCATCTGTAATGAATATATGAAGAAAATAAAAGATAAAGTATCTTTTCAAAAACCATAAATCTAACACAAACAGCTTTAGTAAAAACTGTGATAGATATACATTCATTTTACAAAAGTAGCAAATCTTCTTGGTATCCTTTGGGTGAAAGTTGCTCTATGCATTATTTTTAAAATTACATAATTAAATGTATTTGTTTAAGAATGGTTATACAAGATTTTTGTTTGTCACAAATATCAAGATATGCAACAAATACAGAAACAAAAAATGTTTTGGGCTGAATCCTATTTCACCTTTATGCACTTAAATGGCACTTATCTGTATACGTGTAATTTTTGGTGCTTCTTTGGCTTTTAGAGTCTATTTCCCCCTATAGTGAAATAGGATCACCCAGGTATCTGTGTACATATTTTGCACAAAGTAAAACTGAGAAGGAAGCAGGCCCTTGTGCCTTGTAGCTGAACAGCTCGGCAGTTAAGGTTCTTGTTGAGGAAGTAAAAGAGCCAGTTTCTGGGTTTCCTTCACCCAGAGAAATTTGGAATTTGTATTTTCTACTTCCTAGCAAAATGCTTTAACCACCAGGCTATGAGCGAGGTATTGGCCAGAGAAGTTTCCAGTTCTCCTGAAGCTGACCCACTGGGCAGGCACAAGGGGAAGATATGTGAGGCCAGGAAGATTCGCAAACCAGAGGGGGTATTGGCTCACTACTGTCTAAGGATGGGGGCCTTGGGTACTGGCCCACTGCCTCCAATGAGTTTTCTTGAATTTTTCATTTACTAATCATTGGATAAAAAGGAGAAACAGCAGTGGGGTAACTTCCACCCACTGGGGGCACAGCCATGGCCAGACCCCAAGCTTGTGCTCCTCACTAGACCATAGTCTTGGCTTGCTCTTTTTCATCTGAGCCATGGCATGGTAGTTACATTACTTTGTTGGAAGTGGGAGATACAGCTCGAACCCCCTTAAGGGAAGGAGGTTGAGAATCTGGGTTTTCCACTTCCTGGGCAAGTGCTCTCACCACTAGGCTGTTGAGCTCCACATAGCAGGGCCCTTGTCTGACATGATTGAACAGTTGCCAGTCATAGTTTCTCTGCCTGAAGTTCTGGGGACTTCCATGGCACTACCCACCTACATGAGCAATCTTATTCTCCCCCAGACCCTACACAGCCAGGCTGCAGGTTCCTGAGCATGTGCAGAAGGGGAGCATAGGACAACTGTAATGATGCAAATGAAACCAAATCAAAATTCTGTGTAAATGCCACATGTTGCACTTACACAGCTCTGCAAGTGCCACTTACGTGCATAAAGATGGGTTTGGCCTTTTCTATCTCTCTAGACGATTTAAATTACTCATCACATATATCCACACTGAATGTGCATTGTCCCTCAAACTGCTGTGCAATCCCAGAAAATGCCGGTGGGCTAACAAATTCAGGTAGTGGAGCCCAAATGGACAGGCAGTTTCTTTTGAATGTGAAGGCTCTCTGCTAGAGACTACCTGCCAGAATCTCTCTCTTTTGAGGTAGGGACAAAAAGTGGCTTTTTCACAGAGAGAGAGAGAGAGAAACTCTCAGAGTACCAGAAAATAGGAAAATTTAAAGGTGAGAAAGGCATGGATAACTGTAATGACATTGGAATCAGAATACAAAAAATTGCATCTTTTAGATGAAAACCAATTAAGGTAGTTGCTTGGGGCATATTGATTACATGCACATCTGGTTAAAGATTCCATTCAAATTATGAACCTGAGAAGAATTCTGTGCCCTCCTGCCTGCCTGGAGTTGATACAATCAGTATCAGTTATTTTGATTTATTCTCTCTATTACCTCAAATTTTATTTGGACAGGAGTAGACAGAGTTTATCCTTCATCTGGAATCTTGCTGGTCAAGTTGTTAAATTCCTCCAGAGTGTTTAGAAAAGATGGAAACACACAGGAGTGTGTCAACCAAATGTTGAAAGTATCACAGTTCATGGTTCTTTGGTGAGCCTCCTCTGTGGCTTCAAAACCACATAAAGCAGGAGGGATGACCATATGGTACCCTGGGGCATCTGACACAAGTTGTGGGTTTTACCTTCTGGGATCTCTATGGATATGTTTGCTCTACACTGTTTTATTTAAAGCAAATTGAACTAAGAAACACATTTGAACCATCAGATCTAGACAAAGCACAAATATTTGCTCCAGGATACAAATGTCTTGATTTTAGCTTAAGGGTCAGCGTGCTGTAAACTGTGAAGTTTCCAGACTAGCATCATCTGAATTCACTCAATCAGTAGATTCAGTCAGCTAGAAAACAAAAATCTAGCCCAGGCAAGCCCTAAGAAATAAAATGAATTGCTCAAGTACAGCTCCACCCATTTCTGCTAGGACTGAAGTTGTGAGAGCTCTTCCTTTCTGGGAATAGTATAACAAAAATAACGGATTGAAGTTAAACAATATGTAATTTACCCAGTGATATTTTCTTCTTCTTTCAAGGCCTCCCTTTTCTCAGAAAATGTATGTCTAAATAGGTGGGGTTTGCTATGTGTCTTTATGGTCAGAAACATCTGACTTTTTTCTGTTAAGTATGTTAAGAGTAAGGTTTCAGAGTTGAGAAACATTCTACCTGAGCAACTCTAGTAACCATGAACTTTCCATGAATATATCCTGTTCTTTTTTTCAGTCTGGCTAAGCTATCTGGTAAGAACGTAAGAAGTGCCATATTGGGCAGATTAATGGTCCATTTAGCCCAATATCCTTTGTACGACAGTGGCAGGAGTGGATGCTATACCTGGAGAGCACTGAATTGGATATCTCCAGATGATTCATCCCCTATTCAATACCTTCCCTGACATCCATCATTTATCGGGTTAGAGATGCCAGAAAAGCTTGTGTACCTCAGGTGATCGCAAATATCTGAATCAATACTTAAACATTCACAGGATCCAACCCTTGGATTAGGTACAGCTGCAATTATTTACTCCCACTGAAGACCTTCCATGTAGCGAACTGATCCTTTCCACATAGCGGCTCTAAAGTTTAAGTGCATTGGAAAATATGAAAAGGGACGAATAAAAATAATTTCTTGCTGGAGATAGAAGCTCATTAGTTGCATACAACATGGGAGTAAGACCCGTGGGATGATCAATCAAAGGGTGATGATAGTGTGATGTGGCTATGAAAAAGGCAAATGCCACCCTAAGACACATCAAGACAAGGTATTTCCAGCAAAGACAGGGAAGTATTGATGCTTCCGTTCTGTTCATCTATGATAAAAAAGATTAATTTAAACTGGAACAGGTAGAGAAAAAGGGCCCTAGAAGGATTAGAAGAATTGAGAGCCTATTTTTTGAGACAAGGTTAAAAGAGCTTTGATTCTGTATCCTAACAAAGCAAAGCCTGTTAGGATAAATATATCAGGAAGGTAAAGACCAGTGAAGAAGAGGAGGTATACATAATGGTTTTCAGACTGGTTATTGGAGTATTACATTTAGTTCTGCATTCTTTGGAGAATCAATAAAGGAACAGAAATCAAGGAAACCAAACATGTTATGAGTATGAAGCAGAAATACGTTGAGACACCCAAATACCTTTCCCCAGCTACATAACTGTCATTACTTGGCACCTGCCAATTCAACTCCCTATACAGTGTGGATGCATGTGCCATATGGCTACTGAACATGTACAGTAGACACCACACTAACAGGCTGGTAATTTCTCCTTATAAGTATACGGAGTGTAAGTCCCTCAAAAAGTGAGGAGGAGGAGGACAATCCTCCCATGTTTTAACCCCAGCAGCTGTGTGGCTAGGGCACTTATGCAAGAAATGGGAGTGCTCAGATTTTTACGGCACTCTTTTTTAAAGAAGTTTTAAACCTAATATCTCCAGCTTCCCAGAACAATGCTCTCACCATCACTCAGGCTTTATCCAGTTTGCCCCTTGAAGCCAAGCCACTGCACTGAGCCTTTAGTATTTAATGCATCCAGCAGTGGGGAAGTCTATGTTCGATCAGGAGGTAGAAGCCAGCATCTGCTCCCTTTGAGAAAGCATCCATCTCACCAAGCCACACACCTTATAACTACATTGCTTCATCCTGGCCCTACATATCCCCTTCTCTTAGGATCATAGGGAAGTAAGACCCTCATGAGGTCATCTAATCCAGTTCCCTGCTCAAAGCAGGATCATCCCAGCCACATCATCTCAGTCAAGTGGCTGTCTCACCTACTTCTGAAAATACCCAGGATTGGAGATTACTCAATTTACCTAGGTTTCTCTGCTTAACAAGTTTCACAGTCAATCACAGTTGTTTTGGCTTTTCCTAATGAGTCATGTTTCCTGGGCATCTAATCATTTTTGTCATTTTCTGCTGGACTCTTTTTAATTTGTCCGCATCTGGGCCAAAAACTGGACACAATACTCTAGATAAGATCCTATCAGAGCCAAATAAAGTTGAAGAATCACCTCACTGGATTCAACTCTTTATGCTGTTGGTGGGTTTGGGGGGTTTTTTTTGCAATAAGAACACACTGCTGACTTATAGTCAGCCTATGTTACTGCCAAATTGTTCTCTGCAGTATTGTAACTTAGTTAATTATTCCCTACTTTGTATTTGCTGTAGTGATTCCGTTCTAAGTGCAGGACTTTGCATTTGTCCTAGCTGAATTCTATCTGATTGATTTTGCACCATTTGTCCAGTTTATCCAGGTCGTTCTGGATCCTAGTTCTACTTCCAAAGTGTCTGCAGTTTTACCCAACTTGATATCATCCACCAATTTGCTAAGCGTGCACATGATCCCATCTTTCACATTATTAATGTGGGGCAGCTTCGAACTGAGTTCTGGAGAAAGGTGTAAACCCAATATTTCTGCAGTCCATCCTGTTGAAACATTTTAAAATGAATACACAGAAAGTAAGCTGTGTGGGGATGGTCCATATAACACATTGAGAGCTGCAAGTGTGGCCCACTATGGCAAATAAGTTGAGAACCACTGGTCTAACCCAGGGCCGGGCAATTATTTCAGGT